GCTGGTTGAAGTCCAAACACTGCAGGGGTGATGTGCCAGCTGTACCCAGTGTTTTACCCTTAACCCCACAGTCATTTATTCATATCCTTACATTTAAACACATTCAACAGCAGCAGGAGAGCAGAGGAGGCAGGAGCATGGGCAGAGGTAATAGAAATGTGTAGACATGGCACTTAGGGACATGGTTTAGTGGTGGACTTGGCTGTGTTAGGTTTATGGTTGGACTTGATGATCTTAAAGGTCTTTTCCAACCTAAGTGATTCTATGATTCTGTGGAACACTCACACTGTTAGCAGGTGGCTCTTGGCTGTGTCAGGGAGCAAACACCGGCTGTGTTAGGTACATACACAGCAAAAAGACTGACATGAATAAATGTGGTGTTTAAAGGCTTCTTCTTCTGCAAGGAGGAATTTCACATTTTCACACTGATTGGATGCTTTTCTCTGTATTAAATGCACACGCCCAACCTCGGCCCCACTTTTCTAATGGCCCTTGGCTGTGACACTGGAAGGATTGCCTACCTGTCATTGCAGGATACATTATGATAAATAGTGGAAGACACAGAAAACAATCTTTTCAAGAATAATATCTAACCAATTATTATCCAAAGGTAGTGACAAAAAATTACCTTCCCTGTTATTGGATGAAATGAATTATTTTGAACTCACTTTCCTCTTCTCCACAGTTTATTGAAGTGAAGAACTGTTTTCATGGTTATTCCCCCCCCTCCCCCCCGGATTATTTAATAACGAGAACTATTTAGTAACCTAGCTGCCTTCCCAAGGAGAGTGCCACAGTTCCCCAACTGGGAACAGAGATTTCCCAATGCCTGCTCATCAGGCAAGTTGGGCTTTGTCAGAAACGGAGACAGCAAAAACTCTGGTTACTTTTTCTTCCAGCCTCCTTCACGATGCTTTCCACTCCCCCTCCTCTGCTTACCAATCTTCCAGTTCAGAGGTAGCCCCAACCCCCTTTCTACAGTACAGGTTTTAATTAGTTAGGGGGTGAGTGATAAATCTGGTGCCATGTACAAAGAGCCACACCAGGACTCCTGAAACATTGCCAACCATTTTCACTGGTGCCAAAAATATTTGAGAATAAATAGTTTCATCACCACCCAACATTACCCCAGTTTCCTGGCATCGAGGATGAAAATAATTTAAAGCGTTGGAAAGGCCTTATGTTTCACATTTGTGTCGGACTTGTGGAAGCTATGAAGGGGGACAGCTATGTGTCTTTACCCTGAAACAGGATTAATTTTTTTCTGTGTCAGAAAATATGATTCATCAAGCATGCCAGGGAGAGGCATTGTTCAGGAAAGAAATGACTGTATTTCCCCTTGGGCCTCTTCATCGCTCGTGGACATTCAAATTCTGGGAACATGACTAAACAAAATCAAACTGTATGAAGTGCGCTAAATGGAGCTGTGTGAGAGCAAGCCACGACGGGCCTGTGTTGGTCAGTATTCTCCTTCACACTCTGTAAAAGCTCTTTTTTCTCCATGCTGATAAAAACCCAGGTTTGAAAGCCCTGCATCCCACAGCCACCCTGACAGGTATCATTACAACATCTCGAAGGGACCATGGTTATCAAATAGCGATGCCGGCATCTTTAAACTGTTACTATTTTGTTTAATTTGCACGTCCCCTTCACTTGCACAGACAGGGTGTAATGGAATAATGAGTCTTCTCGTTTCTGTTTCCAGAGTCAGGACCAGCCTAGACTCATCCAGGGCTGAATTGCATCCAGCTCTGAATGAGGAATTTCCTTCCTACTTGTTTGTTTTTTTAACAACTCCATGCTAGTCAAGACAAGTTTCACCTGTGCCCCACAGTGGTCCCTGCCTGGGAATACCCTGAAAGATGCCTTTGCAACTCTCATAGAAAACTGCTATCATGTAAATTATTATTATTATTAATAATTATTATTATTTTCTGCTATCATTCTACCTGTTATACCTGGACTTTGAACTTGGTTCCTACCTACCATAAACTATCTTCCTGCCTCCTGGTAGGGTAGAGGTCTTCCAGAGCAGCGAAAAGCAGCAGTGATAAATCAGGGTGACTTGAGCCACCTCCAGGAAGCACATGTGAGACCTTAGAGTGAAGGATGAGCTTCTTCTCACCTCTGGAGGCTCTAGCTGCACAACCATAAAACAGCATAAAACTAAAGCAAAGCAGGTATGGAGTGGTGTATGATATGGGGTGGGAGAACAAGCTCCTGTACTTGCCTTATAAACCCTCCAAGTGAGAGATTCAGAAGCTGGTCCGACCCCATGCGCACAGCAATGGGACAAGAACATCCCCTCTGCAGGACCCTTAATCCACCAGAATGCAGCCAGCTTGTGTAAGGTGTGGGGCAGAGAACAAAAGCTACCAACAGCATATGAAGGTACCCTTTGGAGTCTAAAACACATCTAGAAGCATCCAGCACAGCTTCTGACTGGTCAGTGCTCATCTGTGCATAATGGGCTCAATTTTGCATTTGAAGGTAATGATGAATTCTGGATTTTCCTCTCTTGGTGTAGAGGAAAAAGTGTGAGAGTGGAGCTATTGCTGATCATTCCTGGTTATTGCAGCACGGCGCCTGTCTCCCTTGTGCTACCCCTCGTTTCCCCCGTGCCAGCATCCCAAGCACCAGCCCAGGGCCGGGGTTACCGTACCCCTCTGTAGCAGAGGGCAGGCAGCTCCGTGCCCTCCTGCCGGCTTGCCTGGCTGGAGAAAGGGGCAGGAAGCACCAGCTCTGCTCAGGAGCAACCTTTTGGTTTTGATACCTGTGAATTTTAAAAATGTGTCGTCCTTCAAAGCAAGAACACGCTGGAATTGGTAGGATGGAGAGCGCAGATTTTTTTGCCTCTTCCTCTCTGAAAATACCCGGAATCCATTTTGTGCTTGGGAACCCTGTTAACAAATCTTTATTGAAAATGAAACACTCAGGCAAGTGGAAAGGTCATCCCAGGACACGGGAAGGGTGGGAGAGGGACAGAGGGCTGAGCTCTCCCTGGGCAGCCTTGGGAGCACGGTAACACACCTCTTCCAAACATTTCCAGTGTGCTTCTCAGCCCCGGGTAGATTTGGAAATCTCAGCCTCAGTGGGTGTTATTTTTTCCTCCACAAAGAGATGAGAAACGTAATACAGCTGTCCACAACCATTATGGATCAGGAATACTTAAGAGGCACAGGCATCCTATTTTCAACCTCAGCTAGGAAATTTTAAAATTAATTAGGCCAGTGCAGACAGTGGAAAATAATCTTAGATCTCTCCCCTTCTGTTAATGCAGAGCTGTGGCATTCAGCAGGGAGGCAGCCGCAGGGACCAGGCAGTGCTACCATCCAAGGCCATTGCTGGGGCTGGCACTGGTGAGTGTGAGACAGCCGCTGGATGGCACGGAGCACCCTCCGGACAGGGGCTGCGGGGCTTGGTCCTGCAAAACCCCCAGGGTAGCTAAACCTAGGGCTTAAAAAAAATGGAAAAAAAACCCCACCTGAGTGTGATGAAAGATTTTGCTACTGGAAAGAGAGGACTTGATGTAAGTTGCACCGCGAGGACACATCTTGCCGGTTATTTATTGAGGCTTCAGATGCCGTGGCGCTCCTGCTGCTGGCGTCTGACTTCCCCTGTTACCAGCTCACGAAGCGCAGACCAAGTCTGAATGGTTTTTGCTTTACTAGGCACAATGTTATTAAAGATTTATCAGCAACAACATGGCAGACAGCTTTTCCTTGCAACCGCAGTGCATAGTGGTCTGTGCTCCAAAATAGAAAGGGCAGGTCAGGATTCACCTGAAATGCTCTTTTATGCTGAAGCAGCTACACTGAATTAAAGAGCGTGATGCTGCTGCATACCTGTCTCAGCTCCAGCCACAGGTTTCTTTTGCATTTGACATGAATAATGTCCCTATGAAGAGGACGAGTTGAAGCTATAATGAGAATTACCCCCTCCCCCAAATCCTACAGTTTCGTAGCTTAATCAAACTGTTTTTTCACTCACATCAGGACCTTGGTGACGTCCACGGAGAAAAGCTCTGCGCCAGTCCCTTCTCCTGGCACCAGGCACAAGACCTTTGCTGCAGTGGCAGAGGGTCAGGCCACCACATGCCTGCTCAGCACAGATGCAAGTGTGGCCTCCTGGTAATAAAGCTGCTCCTCTCCCTCTTCCCCCGAAAAGCTGCACGCCAGGCAGTAGGAAAGTTGGGGAGATACCCTCCTTTCAACTCATCAGGCAGAGACACTCCAAGGGAGGGCAAAGGATGAAGAGGATGTCTCTTGCTGATCAACAAGAGATCCTCCTCCATTCGCACTGACAACCCAGCTCCTGTTTAACAGCGTTTCACGTGCTATGGGAAGGTGCCAAGGCTCTGGGGTTCCTCTTGGCCCCCAAAGAACGTGTTGCAGCAGGGGATGCAATCCAGGCTGCGGGTCAGCGACTTCCCCCTGAAGCTTCTCCTGCTACAGCATTGCTTTGGTAGGATCCTTTAACACTGCCCACAGGAGCACCTGGGCCAGCAGTTCCCCCTTCAAAGCTTACCCAAAAGAACAGGCCAGTAACAAATTCGTCTGCGTGTTCTTACCTGAAGTCCCTTTTTGGATGGTCAAAGTAGCCTTTAAAATCAATCTTGTGTCAAAGTCACTTTATACCAAGAGGTAGACCTCCACCCAAGTCTTGATGAGCAATGATTCATTGGACTACCAAAATGGCACGAAGTCAAGGCTTAACCAAAAGACATCCAGTCTTTGCACCGATGTGTCCTGTTAACTTCAGATCGCTAAACAAGTTAAGCAGAAAAACTGCAAAGACTTTTTGAAACCAGATGAAAACGTTAAAAATCTTGCCAGAAATACCCAAAACAAAAATTTAACTATCACAGAGCAGAGACCAGAAGGGAGTCAGTCAGCAGACAGCAGCCACAGGAGGACAACATGCCAAGGGGTGCTTCTGGAGAGAAGCGCAAAGCATTAACTACAAGAAAAACAGTGGCATTTTTTTCTCAGTACAGATTTTATTTCAATTTAATTGCCAGCTTCACCCCATTAAAAAAAAAATTTCCATTAATTTCTACAGAATTCAAGAAGATGTACATTAGGAGAAATGATTACAAAACAGGACCTGTGAAGTACAGCAAACTGTTTGTATTTGTTAGTGCAACAGCAACGCTGATTACACAGCCATGGCATGGCATCTCTCTGGAACAACATTTCTGCATACACAACAACAGTGAAAAGCATCCACAACTGCACATTTTGACCAAATATGTTTCCAATTTATTACAGTATGAGAAAAAAAAATCACAAGTGAAAGAAACAGAGTAACTTTGCCTTGGCAGCTTTGAAAACTCCAGCCAGCAGCTATGAAGTAGCCCAGTATGTCCCAGAATGAATCATCACTTTATTCCAGCTCTGGCTTGCAGGCACATCATATTCACTGAAGTACTTTAAATAGCAGTCTGTCTTTAAATGGAATTGTGCAAATTCATTGTATGATCTGTCACTTTGCTTGCAGCGCTCTCTGCATGCCATGCAGGCGGCCCCGTCACTCTGCCTGAACTATTTACGTGGCTCGGGCCAGTCGCCTGCACGCTCTGCTTAGGGGGCTACCACACCGGCTAACTCCTGTCCTTGAATCTAGATAGCCCCAACATTACCACCGAGCCAATCAGAGGCAGTTCAGCTTCACTTTAAATCAAAAAGCCCATCCATAAAAAAAAAACAGGGAAGGAAGATTATTTTTGGCTAGGTATCAGGAGGCCTCCAGGCTGAATAGCGCGGAGCTCATCCCCCCGTCCCTCCCCTCGGGATTCATGCCCAAGTCGCACAGCAGCGAAGAGGGATGGTCCCCGGTGGGAGCTGCAGCAAGTCCGCGCGCGAGGCACTCGCTGCAGAGCACAGTCTAAGCTGGCAGGGGAGCCAACTGCTTGATAACCTGCACACTCCCACCCTCCAGAGACCACAGCTTCTCCTTGCTCCTCTCTTTCCCGAGAACCACGTTCAGCCCTCCAAATCAGCATCACCCACCCAACAGCTGTTTGGCTCCTTAGCCCATAATGCCGCTACAGACACAATGTGCCTTATGCTGCAGGGAAAGGCAAATATTTTACTTCTTCATTGAGAGTTGCACAAGGTGAGAGAGGGGATGTTGAAAACACGCCTGCTTTTTATTAGCTCCCATACATTTACTGCCTGCAGCACAAGAACCATGGCATTCACAAGAATAGCCTCTAACCCCTGCACATGTAACCACCGACTGAATTTTACACAGCCAGGACAACTTCCCTGCACATAAAGTAAAGCACATTCCTAAATACCAGTACAGTTTCAGCAGCAAATGCCAAGCTATTCTTGACTTGACAGGGAAGTTGGAATTCTGCATCTAGACAGGCTCATCCAAGACCCTGCCTCATTTATTTCCAAGTAAATAACACTGCTTGCCTAGAAGGACTAGAAGGACCCGACTCCCATGCAGGTACATACGGGCGTCCTCCAGGAACTGACGATGGAATTATCACTTCATCTGCTTGCAGAGTAGTGTAGTAAACCTCAGTATTTGCGCCTGAAACAAAACTCTTCCAAGAAAAAGAATGTCTCCGAACCTATGCACATGCCAATTTTATAGCTAGCCTCACTGTTACTTTTTAAATTAATAACTAGCACTAATGAAGGAACAGATTATTTTCTATTCTTTGCTGTCAGGTCCTTTAACGAACAACACCGGGGCGAACCAAGACTCATTTTTCCTCTCTCCTCCCAGCCCTAACCCTGGGGATAGCTCATCCTGGATTTTTCTTTTTTTTCCCCTGAGAGGCATCCTCATCTCAAGCAACCTCAGAAAGGGAAGAAATATAGCCATAGCCTTTAGTAAACTTTCCTATTCTGTATGGTTTTCAAGGCTCAAGAAAGCCACTCAGTTTAAGGAACTGAGAGGACCATGTCCTACTGCACACCCAGCATGCTCCTGGAGCAGCCTGATTGACCCGAGAGGCCTCCTGGCACTGCAAGGCATCCTTGAACCAGTAAGTATAGCAGATTCGCACCTTCAGATTAAATAAGGCACCGGTAATTTCTGTAGGTTTCAGTAACAGTTCAGAACAATTTGCAGCCTGTTATTCAAAGGTAACATGGTGGATAATCTAAACAGAAAGAATCTGCCTAGCAGCAGTAAGGCCTCCGTTTCTGCTTTAAAATGACATGTGACTGTTGCGATTACTTTGGATAATGGGTTTTTGTGTAAAATAGAATACCGTTCCTCTAATGAGGTTTCAAAGTTGGCTTCAAGGCAAAGATTTAAAACCCCTTTAGATTTCAGAGGCATGTTTTCCAGTCCCTTAAAATGGGGCTGCTATAGGAAGTAAGCAGCAGTGGGGAAAGGAACACTTCATTTTAAATGTTGTAAATTACAGCTGGTTTGCTGGAGAAAAAAACCCAACCTGTTGTCACCTTAAACACAAGGCAAGGCAGAGAGAAAACAGAATATAATTAAAGCACTTCCCAAGATGGAAGGCAGCGTAACAGCAGATTGTTGTGTAACAAGGGCAGCAGAGCCTCGCAGTTAGCCAGTTCTGTAGGAAATGCGCTCAGCTCCGTCACCATTTTCTCCCTAATAAGAGTCCCCATGGAGATTAGATCGAAGAGATGCAAGAGCTGGTGGGGTAGAGGCAGGGGAAAAGAAGTCTAAATAAACTGCCCTGCTGGGTGTTATTTTGTTCGCATGGCATTTTTCTCATTCCACGTTTTACACTGCAGCAATCAGGCTATTAAGTGTTTATAATATCCCTCGGCCCACTGCTGATCTTGGGGTACGTCTGCCTGTCTATGCAGAAAACTCTTCTGTTCAGTGCTGCACAGTTACACCAGGGGAGCTGTTAGGGAAACGCCAGCTGCGCAGTCAAAGGAGCCGCTGCAGCTGTGTAAAAATAACCAAGCCAGCTTTAACGTGGCTGGTGGAGGCACCGTTCACAGTGTAAACCCAGCAACCTGGAGCTCAGCAGAGTCAGAATAAGCGCTTAAACCAAATAGCTTGTGCTGACTTACAGTGTGGCTGTAGCGTTACGCCTGCAGCCTGTCCGATTTCACTTGGATGTTTCAAGATGACCTGCGCTCACACCAGCGATGGCCACGAAGATGCACCATCTGTTCTTGAGATTTGACCTAATGAAGACTGTGGCTACCTCTACACAGGGTTGGCTCATGTCCCAACCACACTGCAATGCCGTAGGTAAAAACACTTTATCAGAAGAGTAAAATCAGGGTCCTCTGAGCCCTTTTTCATCTCTCAAGACATTTCCCACAAATACTCTTTGGGTCTTTTATTTTAAAATTTAGCCCTGTACCCAATTCCTCCTCTACACTATATGTTTGCTACTGTATCAGGTTGAGTGTTGTCCTGGAAGGAAATACAGTTATTACAAGACGATTTGCTTTGGAGAAGATGATGACATCTTTATAGCATGAATAAAGTTTAAAGCTGGAAGACAATTTTCAGTCTGTTTCAAGAAAACCACTCCAAATGACTGAAAATTTCACATGGGATCCTCCGGTGCATGGTAACTTGTGATGTAGCTGCAACTTTTATTCAGGTGACATTTGATTTGATCTGGAAATCTCTTCATTCAGTCAGTGAATGAAGAGCCACAAGGTATCTTTCTCACCAAGTAGAGGGACATGGTCTACCCAAGCTCCTTACACTCTTGAGCGGGTAATTGAAGAACTATCCACTCAAAATGTCATTTCTCAGAACTGCTGCACCTCCACCTGGAAGAGGAAAGCCATTTGTATTGAGCTAGGCAGGAGCAAGCTAAGAAAGCCCAAGCTGCTTCACTTTCAGCCCTGACTCCCTGCATCTCCCTCAAGAATTTTAGTCTTACAATGGTTTCTGCAAGTTTTTCAGGTTTCAACTCACAGAAGAAAAACATAACATCATCAAATGACATTAAGAACAACCTCAGGCTCTTCAAGTAAGTATACATATTCTTGGCCATAAAAAAGCCCCATGTCATGGCACTTAAGTCCCTGCAAAGTATCTTGGATTACTTCAGTTTCTTAGATATACAGAAGGCAAAACACTTCACTGGAAAAGGAAAAGCTGAATAAATCTGAAAAATCTCGGTAGTTTGAAGTGCTTCAGATCAGACATTCTAGTTCCTGGGACCCTCGGCGGGCTGAGAGAACCAGTCTGCACCAGCTCCAAAGCATTCCAACCATGCCCAACAGCTGAGTGTGAACATGAACAAGGCAGGCTGGGATGAGGCACAAAGAGGAGAATTAGAAAACACAGCAAGTACTTGGCATACACAAAGGTAACTGGCACTGATAAACTTCGTAGGTGCTAGTGCCCACCTGAGCTCAGGCAGTAAGTATAAAGGCTCTAGACAAAACAGACAATCCTGAGATGGAGATCCTTTTCTTAGTAAGGCTTTGAGTACATGTGTTTTTTAAGTGCTTTTCTTAAATTAATTATCACAAAAGACAGGCTAGCATTCCTTAAAACAGTTGTGATCCTTCATTCCAGTATAAAACACATATGCAAACATGGCTTAAGACCCATGATCACTTAGGATATCATTTTAAAGTTTGTATTAAAAATATTTTTTATCCAAATGATAAATATTCTAAAATAAGCATTTACAAAAATAAATGGTCCATTCCCATAAGGAAGGACATATATAGCTGAAATTCTGAATACATCTTGAGGCAATACAATTATTGATGAAGCTAGTTAATAAAAATCTTTGGTATGACAGTATAGTACATTAATATTCATGCACTGTTGTCTTCCCTTGGCAGGTATACTGTACAGACAAGTGAAGAGGCAGCTTTTCCTTAATTTCTTGATATGTCTTCCAAATACAACATACAAATATTTCTAACGTGTCTTCCTATGATAATAGGAGAAAAGCCCAAGATTCTCCTGGCTCTTCCTACGACTTTGGTATCTAAAATAGAATGAAGATGGGAGGAAAAAGAGAAAGTGAACACAGTTTAGTTTCATTCTAGTAGCCAGTAAGCAGCATTTACAAAAAATAAAAATCAATAAAAAGACGACTTTAAAAGAAAGTCCATTTCCTTCAATATTGTATACATCAGCTGCCAAGAGAGCATAACAATGAATCTGTTAGGATTCATCACTGCAAGTTCAGACACAGGAAGAGGAGATTACTGAGTTAGGTAAGGGGGCAGCTTTACACCTGAGCACAGCACTGGATGGTGCAAGCCTGGAACACCACAACCTGGTCTGGTGGCCCTGTTACGCATGGGGCATTGAGATACTGCATAGGTTCAGGGAAGAGCCTCAAAAGCTGGAAAAAAGAGCCTTGGAACAAAAGACTTGGGGACATTAGTTGGTAATTTTAGCAAAAATAAAGACAGAGAGCCAACTTGAGGCAGAAGGACCTCCACAGGGAGAAAATATGAAATGTCAGCTGGCACAGAAATAAGGGGCTAAAGGACTCTGCAATCTGGTAGAGAAAAGCTTAATAAAAATGATAGGCTGGAGCTGAAACCAGTTCAAACTGAGAATAACACACACACTTCTAATGCTATGGACAATTAATGGATCAAGGGAAGGGATGGATTCTCCGATTTTTTGGTATCAGCCCCTGAATGCTTTTCTGAAAATGCTTCTATTGAATGCTGGTGACTGAATATGATGAAGGGAACTGACGGCAGCTAAGGAAACACACAGGTTAGCCTTGAAGGTCTAATGGTTCCCTTTTAGCCTTAAACCCTGACTCCACAGACAGTCCAGCTGAGGGACTCTCATCTGGGAATGAAGGGTAACACAGCCCAGACTCCCACATCACCTGAAATGTCCATGAACTGGTGCTACTGTAGCCTACAGCTCTGGGAAAAAAATAGTAAAGAACAATGTCCAACTGTAACTGCTGTGACCCAGGTATAAGGAGCAGAAGGCACTAAACCAAAACGGCGTTTGGATTCTGCTCCCCATCTACCACGTGAAGACTGGTACTTCCCACAGCACCGTATGAAGACTCGAGAGCAAGTGACACCTCTGAATCAGCTGCTCTCTCCCTGGATCTCTCCCACTAGCACTGACTCACTGATTCGCTGAAGTTGATCCATGTGGACACATCGATGCACTTTTTGCTAAGAGCTGGCGCTCTCACAGCAACGTTGGGTGAATGGAAGGTAGGACTGCGAAGAGGAGCAGGAGCTCTGCTCTGCTGGCTGCTGTGAAGCAGGTGGCTTCCAGGCACAGCTAACACCCAGAGCCAGCAACAGGGGCAATGGTTGCAGCTGCTCAGGCTCAGCAAATCGAGCCAGCGTCCTCTGGCCCTGGCACTGGTCATGCTTCAACCAGCTCCCAAGGGATGTGGAAGCCAGAAGGTTTGGGTCTGTCTCATGACTGCTGGGAATCATGACCCACTGCTATAGCAACAGGAGCTCACATGACTACTGTCTTTAAAAAGAGCCCCTATTTGTGGCATCCTCTGTAGGCAAACTATCCATTATTTATATCTTGGCATGTCTGAAGTGCAGTTTGTATTCTAGCCTCATTAATGAATGATGACACCTTGACCTGCTCTATTAAGTAAGCCATGGTAGATCAAGAGGCACACTGCTCTCCCAATCTGTGCTAAAGTAAGGCAACCAAGAGAAAAAACACCGAAGTAGATTACCTGAGTTACAGCAATACCAAAATAATGCAAATCCTGCAGCAACGCTAAAACAAGCGAGGAAAAACACTGGACCTAAAGAAAACAAAGAAGGAAATACATTAAGACAGAACAGAGCAGTGGAAGTTTAGTTCAGTTCATAAATCATCAATTGCTATTAATATGCATAATTAAGTGTATTCAGATGAAGCTAACATTCACAATTATGTATGTTCTGTAGCTAATGTACTATGAAGCACATTTACTATACTGTAATTAATTTTTACTACAGTTGCTTTGACACCATTCACCATTTGCCTCTGTTCAGCTAGCTATATCCTATGAAATTTAAGTGAAAACTTCCTTAGATGTTTTCTCACTCTAAAACTTTGTGCAAAAACCCCATTAAACACTACAACAACATACTAGCCAGACTACTGGGACCTCACCACACAGTGTAGCATTTTACTCTATAAAGAGCCCCCACTGGGCCAATGCACTGCCTGTGGGTAAGAGTACATTGTGAGACTACAGTCCCTTGGAAGCAGATTTTTAGGGTTTTGTTTTTTCCCCACAGATGTTCCACAAATTCCACTTTCATGACAAGAGCAAATATTCTTGTTCCTGTTTACAATTCTGCTGGAAGCTGAAATGCAGAGACACACACACACACACCTAAACCAAATCTCCCACTGGAACATGTGCCTGCCTAGAATTACATGCAGTTTAACACTGATGTTCTGTATTGATGTTCAATAAAACCTTTCTAATTCATACTTATCCACAGACAAAACCTCATAAAGATTTACATCTGCTTCTTTATTATCTAATATTCTATTTGTATTTACTACTTCACTATGAACATAGCTACAATTAAACTGCACCTGTCAATTTAAGGACAAACGCACTGCAGACCAACAAATTAGTGGAGCTGACCAAGTGGACAAGGACACTGGAGAAACAGCAAAGGAGCAAGGGCTTGATTGCTCCTTCGGATGTAATCTCCCAACGAGGGTGGCTAGCAGCCAGACAATCTCCAGTCTGAGGACAGCTCTTTCATCAGCAGAGTAAGAATAGAAATTATTTAATTTTCTTATTCCCAAGTGCTTTCTCGGTTCTTCCTGTACCGTTATGCTGCAGTCAGCAATAGCGATGTGAAAAACCTGAATAGCAATTTGGTTCAATATTCAAAGTAACACCACCACAGGCAAAAAAATACATTGAGTTAAACTGTGTTTCTGCTTCTCGTTTCAGCTTTCTCTCAGGGGAAAACTGGCAAAAGGCTCAGTTCATAGAAGGTGCTTTTATTCTCTCATAATTGTATCCAAATTTCTCAACAAAATATCAATTAAACCTAAAGGATAAAATAGTTCATTATAAGTTTTGAAAATTCTTCAGCTTGCTTTCAGATCTTCAATTCCTTTTCAAAATATCTTTCAGTGAATAAATGCACAGGCACACCATCTTCTTTTCTGTCTTTGTTTCCAAATTATTTGTACTTAAATTGAAAGCTTAAAAAGACATGAAAAAATTTGAAAGTTATATAAAAAAATTATTGATGGCCTTATGCAAAATGACAGCAGCAGCAGCTGAATAGACCTTACTATTCAAGCACTGAAGAAATCATAGGAAATGAAGACTTTAGCTATAACAGTGTAAGTAAAAATACCATTGTAAATATTGATTAAACTCTATAGTCTCTTGAATTTCCTGGCACTGGTTTCCTCACAGCAGCCCAGTATGTTTTCCTCCATTAATTCCACTTAACTTGTGACAGTAAAGACATCATAAAACAATTTGTTACATGAAATGCAAATTACATGATAAAATAAATTGCATCATAATCTGAAAAGCCATTCCATCCAGTGACACTGTATGCATTTATTTACCCCTGTCATTTAGCATATATTTCTCCTTGTCAGTGTCTATCTCTGTGGAATCTGTGGTTTCTAGAAATAAAAGCAACACATGAAAAGTTAGTACTCAGCTCAAGCAAACAAATGAACACAATCAGCACGTGCAAAATTGTGCAAAACAAGACATTTCAGAAAAATATCCAATTTTGACATAAACTATTAACCCCTCCAAACGTAAATCATCGCTATAGTTAAATCTGGATATATGTTGATCAAAACACATAGGCACATAGTCATTTGAATTCAACTAGAAACAGCTGCAGCAACACCTCTGAGCTGGTTAAGCACTAACCACATAAGTAACATTACACTTGTTTCCCAAGTGAGGAAAGCAGGAGCTAATCCTTCCATAATGCCAGAAATTGTCATTGTAATAAAATACACACTATTTGCTAATATATGTGCTAATCTGAAAACACCCCTTAAAGGCATCAACATTCTTTCTGTTCTTAAGTAAATCTCTGGGCATAAACGTATCTGGCAGATGAAGCACTTGGAACAAACTGCTTGGCACAGATTGTTTATCTAAATTCTGTTCTCAGCTAAAGACATGTACAGCTTCTTTGAAAGTCTGTAGGTACTACATGCTAACATTTGGTGCACATAATTTTTGCCTCTACCTTTCTGCAAATTCGAGTAGAAAAAGAGGTTCACCTTAAGACAACGTGTTCAGTAGTTAGTAGCAATAAAGCCATTTCTGCTTTGGGCAGAAACACCTGCAGCTCTTTTAGAGGTGCCTTTGCCATACAGATGTGGAGATAACATCGTCCGCAGAATGTGTGTGCAACACCAAACACCACCACCATCACCATAAATGGCAGAGGAATTACTTTCCTTTAATGCATCACGAATCTGCAAAACAACTTTTTATAGCCAAACCTCTTTGTGGTCAAGAGGGTTAAAAAAAAACAAAAGCAGAAAAAAGCGAGAGCTCCAAATCTGGCTGTCAATAGGGAAGAATTTGAGACTGTTTGGTTTCAACTGATTTCCTTCTTCTTCGTGACAATCTGGAGCTAGGTGACATGCCTTGGGAAACTGCCCTGCTCACCAAGTCAGCAAAGGGGACTTGTTGTCAGCCAACATTAGACAGCGAATATCTGTCTCCCATGCTAAATACATCCCTCTCGGTGGGGTGACAGGGCATAGCGTTCAAGCAGAACAGAAACATCTAAAGCACTTTGCTGCAAAGCTTGAGAGTCACTGAAGCAGAAAGGATTGCTGCAAAGCCTCCATGGTGCACTCTGCATCAATGGCAACCTTACACAGCCTGCCCGTTTTGAAGGATGTCCTCCCTATATACTCTAGCTAAGAAATCCTCACACTTCACAGGAGAGCACAGCGAAATCTCTGCCCTTTTGTCAGGCTATCTCTGTGTGGGGCTGATCTGATCCTCTATCTTTCTAGTCCATGTCAGCATTGAGAGAAATAAAAACATTTTCTGAGTCACTTGGAAGATCCTGTTTGGCTTCAATAGCTCTGAAGTTGCCCATGCCGTGTGCCTTACCCACCCTCTAGTGGGAATTCTGAGATATTACTAAACATTTCACTTGCAATATTATACTTGAGGCAAAGAAATTTTGTTCTAGCACGAATTTTAAAGTTGTTTAAAAATGAGAAAGAAATCTTTGAAAGGATTTCCTCTGTAGAAAACATTTTTCGTATCTACAGCTGCATGTAATCTATTACAGAACTCTGTCCTGGCCATAGTTCATCAGTGTCCTCACCAATAATTTCTCCAGGTGTTTATAATGCTGCTTGTTTCAATTCAATCTGCACTTAGAACAAAGTCCCCATGTTAGGGATTCCCTTTTTTCCTCACATTTAGAAACTCTAGTGTCAATTAGGTAAATGCTCTGTGCTAAATTTGATAAATTTAACAACTACTGCTATGAGTAACATTTGAGTAACATAAAAATTGTACGTTAGAGGTCTGAAGGATAATGCTTTTAATATTCAAAATGTCCAAGTTCACTTAAATGAGAAATAATGCCTCATACTGAAAAAGAAGCTTTTCCTGAAGAACAGAATTGTTTGTGGTTTTAACTTAAAATCCTGCACAGAAGTTTATCGACCATTCAACCCAGAATGCAGACATTTGTTTTAGTTACAGAACTCCTAAGAAGCAGCAAACATATTAACACAATTATCTCATTATTTCCTTCTCAGGTCAATGTAAGGAAACTGCAGAGTCTCAGCATGTCATAGCATTGTAACTCAGTTATTTAAATTATTCTCATGGTTCTGAGGATGGTAACATAAAGAGAGTATACCAAGATACAGAGAATTTAATGACTTATGGTTACTGGAGTCCCTTTGCATAATGCAACAGCAGCAAAACAGTTTCAGGGCACCACAAAGAGCTCTATTTTATCTGTGAAGCACTTCTAGAACATGTACTTGTTATGTGCAGTCTGAACATGAGAAGCCCTAACCCTGCCAACTCATGTGGCTACCTGAGTAAAAGCTCTCAGAAGTAACCACATATATCAGGTACAGGGATAAGCTTGTTTATGCTCTAGCTAAAAGTGAAAACATCATGCAGACCCCCCTTTCAGCTGGTTTGTCCAGGCATGACAACAGCATGAGGCAGTGTGAGAGTTCATCTTCGCAATATCTGCACAACTTTCAATGTCAGTTTTATGGGTATGGATGAACTCGGTCACAGCTATGCTATTTCTAGTACTCAACTGAATTCAGACCATCTATATGAGATGTAGTCAGGCCTTGGCTACTGTGTATGCGTATGTTAAGCTACACTTTCAGAAATGGCTTGTAGAAGGTGTTACTGAACATTAACAGAGCTTAAACTCTTAAACCATCAACTCACTTGAAATTTTATTCTTAGTGACTACACTAAGACTTCTTAAGTTGCTTTTAATTAATAAAGGCTGTCTGCTGCCTTCCAGTCAGCCTGGCTGAAAAATTTATTGCTCAAGCTCTACCTAGGTGAAAATGATAGATTCAAGACTATTTCATTTAAAAGCCTGTTCCCTCAAAGGGCATGACTTCTGCAAGGTGAAGATCAGATGTAAATCACTGCCTTAAAGCTGCTGCGAGGCTGAATCAATAGGAATTCATGCCCATCTGAGATTCTGAGGCAGGGATGGGCCCAGACTTTCCCTGTTCAAGAAGGTTCAGGTATGGATGTGGAGACCTGGGGTAATTTTGCAGCCTCCCTGTGTAGGCAGGCAAATGGTGCAGTCTTCCACTGGTATGTATTTGTGCTGAGGAGATTCAAACATTTTCCCTCAAAATGAAAAGCGAAATGAACCTAGACAATGCAGTATCTTCAAAGGTAATTACAATTTTACATGCTATTTTCACTCCAGAAATAAAAGAGGCCTAATTGGCTTTTTTAAACCTATGGACTTTCGGTGTAATGGTTTGAATCTCACTGGAATTTGACCCACATGTGTAAAACCTCCCCAGCACCTAACTGTGGAGTTTCTTACAATTAGAAATCAATTGACCAGTGAAGCATTAGGGCTGTTAGATACTTTACAAGGATTTCTTAAACTGCAGTCCCTTTGCAGCTTCATTAACTTAAACGTGAGAGCTTTCCCTCAAGCTCCTCAAGTCATTTCAGTATGCGGGATGCCTGAACATATTTCCCATCCATTTGGAACACTGTTCTTTTCTCCAGTTCATTAGGTAGGGGGGAAAAAAAACAACAACAAAAAAAACCCACCACCAACACATAGCAAGCATTATACCACGTTGGCAAGTCAGGCTTGATACTTTCCCTTAAAGAAATGAGCTCCTTTGCAGTATAGAATCAAATCTGTTTGAGCCTCAGTCCTTAAGTTCATACATGCATATTTGGGGGGCAGCTTTATGGCTGCCAGTCAGGCCTGTCAGCTGCACAAAACACATCCTAAGTGATTTATACCACAGTTCATCATTGCAAGGACCTATGAATGTCTGCTTCACGTTAAACTAGACACAACTTGGAGATTTACAGATTGAGGGAAAGCCAAGCTTCTGGGCCACCAGAGTTTTGAGCTTAACAAATTTGAGGTTTGTAATATTCTTATGTGCTACAAAGAATAAACACAGAGGAAACAAACAAGCCATTAAGAAGCAATGGTTATGTAAAGAGAAATTGTACTTCATATGACTTATATTGCTGTCTTAAGTGTTGCACTTAAACTGTTTTAAGACATATTTCATATTTCAAAACAACCAAAGAGTTTTAGACTGCTCATGCTAGTCAACAAATAACAAGAACCCCTTACAGCTTTTGGAAAATTCCAGTCAGAAGGAATTAAGGTACACCCCAAAAATTATTTAAATAACCTGTTTAGGTTATTTAAATACCTTAAACTTCATCTGAAATGAGGTTTTGTAATACACTGATGAGGAAATCCACAACTCAATCAACTGACAAATCAACTTACTCAAGATTTTCCTGCTTGGCAGGTCATTATACAGCTCCTCAGCATTGATCTGCAGAGCCCTGTAAAACTCTTGACAGTGTCTGTCTCCTTTCTTTTGAAGGTGCTTTATCAGATCTGAAAGTCTGGTATGGAGTGATGCTTTTGGATTCCTGAACTATAAGAGAAAAGCACTTATCAGAAGAGAGCTTACAACAGCTGAAGATCAATTTTACATCACTTTACAATATGCCAGGGAGTGAAGATATACAGCATGTTTTACATTTGCTAAAAGAATGGGCCAAAAAAATGAGGGGTACCTAAAAAGGATATACATGCATTGCACAGCTGTCTTCAAGACACTGAGCTCCATCTGGTCAGCACTGCTTGATGGAGAGCATATTGCCTCTGCCTTCCCTCATTCTTTTTTCTGTCCCGACAAAGTCACAGCTATTCTGCATTTGATGTTTTCTCTGCATTCGAACTAACATGGTACTTAGTACCCTACAATTTGATTCTGACAGCTGTTGATAGAAAATATCAACAAATCTTATTATAAAGTTTTATTTCTTAAGTATTCCCTTAGTTGCCTAGTAATGATCACCCAAAAAGGTACTTTATACTACTTATATTAGTTCCAATATTGGAGTGTTCATCACCCCAAGATTACATGTTTCATTGTTTCCAGCACAATTAACTGCTGCATACCCAGCGCAACATGTACAGATTCTCATTACTCAGGCAACAGGGTAAGCAGCTGCAGAAGAAAGCACTTTTTTTCTGTAGTCCAAAATGTGATTAATATTAGGAGAGCTTACAAAGAGAATGAAGTCTTACACACATCAAACCCATTTCAGCTTATTTGGAAAACATCCAAAGCCATTCACAGCAAAGCATATTTCAGACCAGTACAGTAGATAACCTTTGTAGTATACTTAGTTAGGATCAATTCCTGCTCTAGGGGGACAGGAATGCAACGTACCTTATAGAACACTCCTTATTCTAACAAAAGCTTTACCAGATATAGCTGAGATTGTAAGCTTCCTAAACACTCAATAGAGTTGACAGAAACTTGCCTGGACCTACGCGAAAGCAGTTCATTTCTGTCTGCTAAGTGCAGAAGTCACAAATTAAATTTCAAAGATTCTTTATGCATTTATTTTGAAGCTCTTGAGGGAATGAGATGATCTTTAATTGCACATGTCACACTGTTTATCATAACTGAGTGGCTGGACTGGCTCAGCTGATGATCTAGCACTGCTCTACATCACCAAAATGCTATTCATCCCCATGGATTTTGATTATGACAGAATTAGACCTATTTTGCCTAATCTTAAAATACTGGTATGCCAAAACCCCAAGCCTTGTCCAGACAATTAAGTCAGCAGAGGGCATGTACAAACTGTTATAAGTAGGATCTAGGAAGCTCTTAACTGGCTTTAACTTTCACTCCACACAAGTTTAAAAAATCTTTCTTCCTAAAAATGGCTACCCATCTTTGAAAGCTTCATGCCAGAGCAGGCAGCCTTCCTCCATACATAGTGGCACCTCTGGAAGATATTACTAATTCCACCCACTTCCCACAGCTCCCACACTTATAGGTAAGACTAATGCCCCCTTTCTCTACCAATACTCAGAGTTATTAATCACATTAATCAGCAACTAAAACTGATTAAGCTAATATAGATGATTTTGTGGACACAGCTGGATGCAGCACAGATCATCTGACACGACACTCCACATCGACTCATGTGAGGAGGCAGGCATGCAGGGCATTTGGTCACATGATGGGTGCAATCCTTCCCAAGGAGTGGTTATATATATATAACCATATATAAGCACTTTTTTAATATATATATATATATATAGTGTGTTTCTGCATGCACGGCATCAGACATCATGGCAGGGACTGTGGCATTAAGCTGCTGCTGAAGAGAGTGCCCTCTCTCATAACCACGGGGCACAGGGAATGTGCCAGCCCTGTGACTTCTCCTCTGATATGAGATCCCAGATACAACTGGTCAGCAAGTAAGAGGTGAGGAAGATTGGCTGCATGTGGCACCAAGAGTGAGGTCAGGAAGAGGGCAGCCATGCTACTGACCTGCAAAAAACCATGCAACATTCAGAGATACAGTAAAATTCATCAAAGTACCTTTTCTGCTTCTGCATTGCTAAGAATTTGGGGGTAGACTCTGTTAAGCTGAAGAATAATTTTATCAACCACTTGCTCATTCAGTCGGCTGTTGCTTGTAAGAAAATACACGTCGTGCTGCAGCCGATGACAATACGACTGATCTAGAGATAAAATAATACAAAGAACAAACCACACCAGTTAATTAGCAAGCCATTTTTAAATTCTGTAAATTTTGTTTTCCTAACAGTGGTTAAATAGCTAAAATAAAATTACCACCATCATGTAATTTTGGAAAGCTGACTCTCTGTTAGGGAAACACAACATAGCCACATGCTTTCAAAGACCCATCCACTTAAAATTACACACTTCTGAACTCCTGGCTGGTCACTCATGCTGCCTCTCTCTTTCCAAAGGGAGAAGGTTCTAAATTATTTAGATGTCAAGCAGTGATGGATATTTAATCAAATACAGTCCTAACGTTGTTAAATCACTGAAGATAAATTTTCTATCATTTATGAAGTCAGATTATGATGGAGCTTGAAACTAACACGTTCATTTTATAATTTTTTGATGTAAATATGTATTTCATAGAGAGAGATTCTCTCTGATGTAGAATGGTAAAAGGACATAAATTTGGCTTCAGATTACGTATTTTACTGATACTGGTGTACAGTACAGGGCTGGTCTTTGCCTGCTGCTTAGCACCTGACAACTGCAGCACAGCGTGGGGTGGGAGGGGATGCAGAGAAGCTCACACAGCCAGGCAAAGCCGGGGGCTGACTGAGCCGGAGTGATTTGGCCCTAACATCACCCAACCCTCCAAGAGTTTATTGCTGCCTTTGGTCTAATGGGAGACTTCAGCAACTAGCCCAGCAGAAACTGCCCAGACTGAAACAGAACGGGAACACCAGGAACAGCATCTCTGCCAAAGAGCCATGAAGTTTTTTAGGGAAGGACTTCTGCTTTCACTTCACACAGGAGTGGGGAGAAAGTGCATTCAAAAAGCAGTACATTTTTAACACGGAGGTACACTCAAATACACATACAAATAAACCACATCTTTTTCTATTAACCCCAGCCTCTGCAAATACACAAATCCAGACTTGCTCTTGGCTTAGGCACCAATTCCAGTTTGACAGCAATGGATTTTGCAGGAGCATAGGTTTCCCTATAGCTGCTTGTCTATAGTCCCTAGATTAAGATACAGGCACAGACTGGTTCCACGGGTTATTGTGCCCTTATCAGATTCAGAAAGAGAATGTTTATGACTGTGTCTGAAATAAGTGTTAAAATGTCACTACAGGACTTCATAACTGAGCAGCATAGAAAACAAAAACAAAACACCGCCACCCCCACCACATTCCCTGTTTAAAGCAAATGCATAGGTTTTATGGTATTCTGGCTACCAGAAAATACATAGCCATCAGCCCTTTGTTCCCTGCAATTTAGAGAAGATAAACAAAAGAATGAAGGAAATGAGCCAGAAAACTCTGGCATGATGCACTGCACCTACACACAGCCCTTGCCCTTTCTATATCATGTTTGGGTTTTTTTGTATTACATTGTCCTTTTTCTGTATCTCTATAGGACTAAGAGCATTTGCAGGAAAGTGTTCAGGAAAACCTCCCCGTGTGGCCATCACACGCTAGTAACCTCTCCAGTGCCAGTGTCACTCCTGTTCAAAAAAGGATGCACAGCTATTCATACTGCATGGAGAGCTGCGATTCTACAGGCACAACAGGATTTCAGTTACATTCTTACTTTTTTATAAGAACACCTTATTATTTCCATGTGTTTCTAATGCCTCACTTTTCCACGGCTTGTTCTTAAGGCAGCTTTTTCGTGTACTGTCAGAAACATACTGCCCTGACATACTTGCTGTGCAAGTCCTTTTTGTTGCAAGAAGCTCCATGTTATCTGATTCAGGGCTGAGATCAAACTTCTCCTCTTCAAATCAACTCACTGGCATGCACAAAAGGCTGAGGCAAGGACCAGGAGACTGTGAAGTTGTGCCTGTTCATCCAAATACTTCTTGAGGAATGAAGTGCCACAACCCCTGCAGCTTCCTCCTCCTTCTGCCTCAGCTACATGATTTGTAGTGACTCTCAGTGTCACCAACGACTCTGTACCTTCTGCAAACTTACAAAAAACATGCATTAAACCAGGGTCTTGCAGCTCACAAAGCAATTAAACTTCAAATACCACTGACATTCAAACAACGAACCACAGCAAGTGCTAAAAGCATGACAAGGATCTGGCAGAATGAGTATACAAAGTAAAATAAAAGCAGGCTCAAAGTGTCATCTCCTTCCCTGCTTCTTGCTCTGCTGCTGCCTTGTCATTACCAATACCTGCACAGGCAGCACGCAGAAGTCTATTACCAGCAATTACACCAGTGAAGTTAACTGTGACCAAGTGAAGATCGCATTTAAGTCAAGATCATTTTCTGAGCAATCACGAGCACTCCAAGTCCTTGCGGCACTTTTCATTTACACACACTCATTAAACCATCACCAGTCTTACCAAGGGCTTTTTGCTGCCACCTGAAACCTGCGCGCTGGTGCACTGTATTATGGGGCATAAGCCTCTCTGAGATTTCAGGGGTGGCTATGTCTTCTTCCCATCTAAGCCAAAAGGCAGGAGAAGAGAATGAGACAATGCTCTTGGCCCCTCTGGCTACTGCTAAACTGTGCCTACCAAGGACAGGTCTTACACCTGGCTCAGGCATCTGCAAGACACTTCTCCCATCCTATGGGATGCTCCATTTTTAAGAAGCACCCATGAAGCAGTCTGCTTCCTCCCCGTCCCCACAGAAACATTTCACCTGCCTGCACCTTCACCTCCTCCAAATGACTTCAGTTCAGTATTTAGGATGTAGTGCAAGGTTCAAAATTTCCTGAAGAGAGGTTATCAAGCTCAACACTAGCTCATTAAAAGCAGAGCAGAAGTAATTTCCAGTATGTCACTTCCTTCTTCCGAAATGTTTCATCTCACCTCTAACTCTGAGAAATCTCTGCCCAAAGCACACAAGGAACTGCCTTCAGGCTTCTGGTAGACCAGAGAAGTGAAACTTCCCACCAACACCACCCACCAGTGCAAAACTGTGCTCCAGCTACTAAATTTAAAGAAAACAAACAAAAAAAGCCCCACCAATCCTAGCGGCTGGAACATGGCATCCTGCTTTGGAGCGATAAGGATATCTGGAAAGCACACGTGTGCATTTGAAGCCACCACACGATGCTCAGCTTGCCCCAGCAGCTCTGGCAGCTTTGTTATGACACGGACCTGCTCCCATGCCCTGCCAGTCACAGCCCAGTTATGGGTGTACAAACATGTCCGTGCTACGAGGTTTTATAATCACTGTTCACAAGCAGCATTGAACATAGTATTGAACATGCCCATTATTTACATTTTCAAGTAACAGAAACCCCAAACCAGGTAACCTCGCAACGGCAGCAACCTACTGATGTGCTGTCAAGGTCTCAAGAATTTAGGGAGCAGCTGTTTGGGATATTTTGCCTATCCACCTTTTATCTCCTGCCTCAAAGAAATGACAATTCTTGCAAGGAAAATTTAAAATCTTCTTGCTAATATTTTGGTTTTAAGCAGAAGTCACCCCAGCATTAAGAGGACAGTCATGCCATTAGCCGGTACTTGCCTAGAAAGTTCAGAGCAGCAAAATCAGGAGACCAGGTCAATTAACCACAGCTTACAGCATAGGCATGGCATTGCCAGGCATTTTAATGCCCTCAGACTGCACAAGGATTGCATCTAACTCTGAATTTGTAATGTGATGTTACGGCACTTACACGTTCTCTTCCACCAGAACATTAATCTAACTGGGCTCAATCCTGTCCACAGGCTTTGGACCCAGCTGCAGGTTTGCTCAAGCACGCAGCTGCAGTGGAGGAGTCTGCAGGCTTCGATGTAGCTGGAGGGTTGGCAGTGTACTGAGCTCAGCCTCACTGAAGAGAGGCAGCAAATACAGCTAAGACTGGATACGACGTCACTGAAGCTGACCTAAAGTTTGCTTAAAAAAAGGTTGGTATTTTCCTTACTGAGAGGAAATGTAAACTTGTCAAAGAGACAGACAGGAAACCCAGGAACTGTTTTTTGACAGTTGAGAAGAAAACATGATTCACGTTATTGACTTATAATTACTATAAGCCCATGACACATCATACACAACTGCTTTTTTCTCTTAGTCAAAGTACAAAAGGCCTCTGGCATACAGCATATGCATGCCATGCTAACATACACAGCCTGCACCTGACCGCACACACAGAAGGAAAGGAAGTACACGTATAATTAAGAGATATCAGAGAAAACCAAGAGATTACTGGCTATTTGTAGCCAGCAGCTCCTCAAACAGAGGATAAAATACATAAAAACAGTGATGATAAATGCGCAAGCAGCAGATGACAGTAACAAAGCAACACACTCATCATTTTTCACCTGCAGGTAAAAATCTCCCCCGTTGCAACCCTTCATAAAATGACACATCTCTGTTCTTCCTTCCAAATGGGCAATTAGGTTTTTGGCAATAGCTGCAGAATGCCCCAGCCATTATACTAAGTGCTGGCATTTTAAGGCTGTTGAAATATACTCTGCTCTTGGGAGTAACAAGGCTCATCAAAAATCTGATCGTATGTGATCGTAACATGCCAGACTGTCTTCTACACTCCTGCAGAAAAAATGTCAAGGGCGACACAGCCACCCGTCCCAAAGCTCTTCCTAATTTAACAGCAGAGTGCGTTCACCGAGAGTTTTTCAGAGACAACTCCTGACCTAGGCACCAGCATGCCAGACCCTGGCAGCAGCCAGGACATCGGACAAGCGCTGTGGCGTTGGCACTCTTGCTCCATACGCCTGTGGTGAGGTGTCTGGTCCCTGAAAGGTGGTACTAGCCACTGGCACAACACACTGATAACACAAAACCTAACCTTCAGGTTAGAACAGCTGTCAAAAACCCCTTTGTAATTTTGATTCTGCTTAATTATTCTTACCATAAAAGACCCCACGTTGTTTTCTGTACAAAGAATGTCAAATGGGATATTGTCTCTCGCAGTCCCCTGCATATGCTCCTCTATGATCTACTTGCGCTGCCCTTCTGGATAAAACCACATGGCCCTAGGGACGTGCCACCTTAGGCTGGGGTCTGCATTGCCACCTCATGTTTATCACAGTAAATAAATAAATACAGCTGCATTTCAAATCTGTAAGATGTGATCAGCCTCTCCTCATTGTGGCTGTGACACGTAAGCACCCTCATCCACGCTTGGGCCCCAAGAGCATAAATGCTGCTAACTGCCTTAAGTCAGGCAGGTAGACCTTTCCAATTAATAACTCCACCAATATTTACGTAAGGACTCTTGACACCATCTCTGACACCACTGCACCTTTATTATGGTTTCATCTTCTGTTTGTTTTTCCCTTAAAAGCCTCCTTCAATTTACCAAGCAAACAGACAGGATCATCCCAAGCAGATAAATTTAAATACAACAGACACAAAACCCACCACATCCCTCTGACATTCTCTGTAACAACACACATAATCTGTATACATCCATTCCAAAAAACTCAATGGTATCTGCTGCTGTGCAGCACAAACACAGGTGACAACTTCCTGTAAAACTCCCGGATGATTTTCATAAACTTTGTAAAGGCAAGCTGACAGCCAAAACCTGAAGGCATGTGACCTGCCATTTGTACGCTTCCATACAAACGCCCTGCTGAAGCACCTCAGCAAAGAGCTGAAAAAGTCTCTCAACAAAACGTTAGCTTAACGCTAATTTAGGTTTTGGCTTTTCCCTTTCAAGAGCCCAAGAAAGGTCTGCTGAGGATTTAAGAAGGGATCTGGCTGCAGAGAAACGGTCTGAGATGATCAGATTGCACTGGTTACCAAATGCACCCCCGATGAAGAGCAACTGCTCCGCTCCTCTGAGCTGGAAGTGGCAATACAGAGGTGAAAGACGACGTGCCGCCCTCACCCACTGCCACCTGCTGCTGCTACTGGCAAGTTAGTAACCAGCAGTCAAGAGCCTCTGACAGCAAGTTCGGTGTCTCATCTTTACCTGAGATATCTTTTAAAAACAGAAGAGGAAAAAATGGTAAAACAGTGAGCAAAACACTGAAATGCTCCCGATACTCGGGCGTGGCACTCGTGACACGCTCCCAGCCCTCCGAGCTGCTTCGTACAACGGCTAAAACAAGGCGGCCATCAGCAGCCGGAGAGCCGCGCGCCCCGCACTGCGGAGGCACGCTCCTGACAAGCGGAAGATGGAGGCTGGGCCGCAGCGGCGGCGCTCTCTTCACCCGCAGGCGGCGTGGGCCCGGCGCGCCGAGGTGCGAAATCCGGCACCGGCTACGCCTGGAGGCGGGCACGGCAC